AGTGGAAGGGGCTTCACAGAGGGAGAAGGAAGAAGGTCCTTCTGTTCCTGGCTCACCTTATGACTGACTCTGCTCTGATGCCACCTGTGGTGGGACAGGGGCATGTGGAGAAGGTACATGGGCAGCCTGTCCTCAATCTGGCCAAATTGTGCCACCCACTGACACCAGAGCCTTTCTCAGGCCAGGCTGCAGGAAAATGGGAAAAGAGCAAGCCTCGGTGCAGACTCCGCTGAGCTGTGTCCTGGCTCTGAAGTCACCAACTGTATGACACTGTGTGACACCAGCACATACGTATACCAGAGGAGAACAGTGAATTATGGTGCACACTTGGAAAAATAGGTAGATTCATCCATGAAGTCCCTTCATGGGATGGAAGGAGCAGTGCCAAAAAGTTTAGAGTTTACAGAGAGAGCTAAGTGTACCAGCATTTTATTAAAACTGTGACCACTTCTCTCTAGAGATATCCTTCTCTGTGATACTCAATCCATGAACCAAGAAGTAAACGTCCGATTCACATTGAGAAATCCTTTAGATTGGAACTTCTCTAGGTCCTAAGGTGATGATGACTGGCTGGGCCATGATCATTCTCTAATAAACTATTTAGCAAAAGAAACACCTTCACTTCTCTATTTAAATCTACCATACCCAAGAGCACGCCCGATCTTTCATCAAGTCACAGAAAGCTCTAGCAAAGGGTCACACAAAAGCTAATGGGAGAAAAATTCCACCTGATGATGAGGATGCTGGATACATGGGCTGAGAAGAGGTATCTGGAGCTGATACTATGGAGATGACATGGGGAACCAGTCTGCGGTCATGCTGGCGTTATTAGGGGCTCAGAGAGGAGGTGCAGCCCTCCCCTTATAGACTGTCACCTGAACAAAAACACTCGTCCTTCTATAGGGGCCAGAGCCATCCTCTCGGTCACCTTCACACAGCTCACAGTGGGATCTGAGAACTGGCTGAGGAAGGACTGTGGCCCCAGGCCCACTCTCACTCAGTCACCTCCTCTATTTCTCCACAGATCCAGTGGCACAGCCCTCCATCAAAGCCAGCAACACCATAGTCACAGAAAATAAGGATGCTGTGGTCCTGACCTGCCTCACAAATGACACTGGGATCTCCATCCAGTGGTTCTTCAATAACCAGAGTATCTGGCTCACAGAGCGGATGAAGCTGTCCCAGGACAACAGCACCCTCACCATAGACCCTGTCAGGAGGGAGGATGCTGGCGATTATCAGTGTGAGGTCTCCAACCTGGTCAGTTCCAGCAAAAGTGACCTCCTCAGGCTGGAGGTGAAAGGTAAGTGACCACTTGTCCCATCCCATATCTTCCTGGGAGGATGGATGACTCTACCAATGTCGTGCAAAATGGATAGAAGCTACAGAGGGCAGAATATCAACCAAGGGACCAATACAGTATACAGAATGGCAAAGTGGTTAAGACCTCAGTCTCTGAATCAAATATACGAAGTTTCTTATCGTGGGTCTGGCATTTCCTGTGTGACTTTATACAAGATTCTTTCTTTTTCTGTTACTATTTTTTTTTTATTTTTTGTTTATTGCAGTAAGATTGGTTTATAACATTGTATAAATTTCAGGTGTACATCATTATACTTCTATTTCTGCATAGATTGCGTCATGTTCACCACCCGAATACTAATTACAACCCATCACCACACTCGTGCCGAATTATCCCCTTGGCCCTCCTCCCTCCCCCGTTCCCCTCTGGTAACCACGAATCCAATCTCTGTCTCTATGTGTTTATTGTTGTTATTATCTACTACTTAATGAAGGAAATCATATGGTATTTGACCTTCTCCCTCTGACTTATCTCACTTTGCATAATACCCTCAATGATCTTAAAGGAAAATCTTTCAGTGTTTCACCACTGAATATGCTGCAAGCTGTGGGCCTTTCATGTAAAGCCTTCACTATGTTGCACTAGTTTCCTTCTATTCCTAAGAGTGCCGGTATTTTGTTTAATCAGTAACCACTTCTCTAGAGATTTCCTTCACTGTGATATTCAATCCACAGACCTGAAAGTAAAAGTACTCTTCAGAGTGAGAAATCCTTTGACTGAAAACTCTTCAATACCTAAGCTTATGAAGACTGGACAGGGCCATCCCCATCCCCTAACAAATTATTTAACAAGAAGCAAATGCCTTCCCTACTTACATAAAGTTCCCTTGGCCCCAGACATGGACAGCCTGCCTTCCCCAACACACACAAAAGTGTATATAGGGAATAGGACCTGATCTTTTTAGAGTCAAAGAAAGTTCTAGAAAAAAGGCAACAAAAGTTCATGAGAGAAAAATTCCACTTAATCATGAAAATGCAGGACACATGGCCTGAGAAGAGGTTCCTGGTACTAGTACTACAGAGATGTCCACGGGAACTGGTCAGTGGTCATCCTGGGGTGATCTGGGTCAGAGAAAAGGTGAAGCCCTCTCCTTACAGACTGTCACCTGAATAAATACTTACAACACTGTTCACAGGGTCAGGGCCATCCTCTGGGTCACCGTTACATAGCTGACTGTGGGATATGAGAACTGGCTGAGATCTCTGAGGAGGGACCGTGGCCCCAGGCTCCAGCCCCACTCTCAGTCAGTCACCTCCTCTGTTTCTCCATAGACTCAGTGGCACAGCCTTTCATCCAAGCCAGCAACACCACAGTCACAGAAAATAAGGACGCTGTGGTCCTGACCTGCCTCACAAATGACACTGAGATCTCCATCCAGTGGTTCTTCAATAACCAGAGTCTATGGCTCACAGAGAGGATGAAGCTGTCCCAGGACAACAGCACCCTCACCATAGACCCTGTCAGGAGGGAGGATGCTGGGGAATAT